ATATTTTTACATTCAAATAGATTTTCTCCCTTAAAAGAAGTGTTGTTTAGTTTATTATAATTTAGATAATAAAACATATTTTTTTTAAGGGTTGTTTGATCTAGGAAAAATTTTTTTTTCTCTAAACTTTTTTCTTTTCAAGATTATTCACATATTTTTAAATATTATAATTAACTAATAAAATTATAATTAAAATTAATAATGTTAATAAAAAATATTAATGACTGTAACCTGAACCATCTTTACCCTGAACTAAAGTGTATATTCGTATTTGGCTGAAAAGTATATATATTCCGTATATTTTAGGAATTTTTTTTTTATTATTTTGTTTGATGAAAAGATGGAAGCCATGATGTTGGGAGAAAAAGTTCAGAAAACAAACAAGGGAAAATGGGTGGGTGGTTTCATTGGGGGGCATGTTCATCTGTACTTGAAGAAAATCAGGACCATTGATTTCTTCATTTGATGTGAAAGGGCAAACAAATATAGTATTCGAAAGATTCTTTTTATTTTAAATTCATTTTTATCCTAAAAACCATAGATTTTTTTTTTTTTAAATCCAATCTATTTTCTTTCCAAAACCCCAAGTTATTTTATTTTTTTTTTTTGAACTGATTTTACAAGGGACTGAGTTCGAACCCCAGCCCTGAAGAGGAGAGAATGCACCATAAATAACTATTGTCACTTGATCCGAAGGGCTCGTGCAAAACCCCAAGTTACTTTTATTGTCTCTGTAGTTTGTACATCTGATTTTTGGGTGATTTGTCATCAGAATGTACTTGATTCTGTTTTCGAGCTTTTGGTACACTTCTTCCAATTTTTTTTGCACTGAATATGTTCCTTTTAGGGAATCAGATCATTTGTATGGGTGCTCTTGTAAATTATTATAGAACAACATACAATGAAAGTTTTTAATTGGTAAAAACCCTCATTAAGTTTCTAAACTTACTTTAAAATAGTATTTAAGTTCTTAAATTAAAAATAAAGTAGATAGATCCTTCAATTCTATTAATGTTACAAATAAATTTTTCTCACAAATGGATCAAATGGTATTTCATATTTAATATCACTTTGAAAACATGAATACTCATGAATGAAAAGGAATTATTTACATTGTTAGTGGAATTGAAGAGTTTATTTACATCATTGTTAATTTAAAGGCTTAAATGCTATTTTGACATAAGTTTAAGAGCTTAGGAAGGGTTTTTGCCTTTTTAATATCAAATACATGCAT